TTTCGTTTAATCGTTCACTTTCTTACTAACATGTAATCGTTGTACTGAGCAAGATTGAAATTTACAAAACTTCTTGATACCATAGATGTGCATATTCTCTTTGGAAAGGTCTGAAGTGCAGAAGGATGCATTTCGATGCTTTTTTATTTTCAAAGTAGTATCTAATGAAATCATATGTACAATGAAAGCTTATAAGCTTCGATCATTGTGAATCAATTGTACCTGTGATTCGAGTCTATCTTTCCTACATACTACAAAGAGAACAGCTAGTTATCGACATCAGCTAGCAATGTGAGCAATGGTTTGATAGAGAAAAAAAAATGTTGAAGAATGATGCATATTTATTTTAATAGGTTTTTAAATGTACTAGCCCTTATAACAATACTCTCTTTCTTTCAATTAGAAAATTAAAATACTTATACGCATTCGATTTGTCGCTTAATTATATTTCTAATGAGACTTCTTTCTCGTTTAGCTTGCATCGTGTTGGATAGAACTTTTCAAGCGGTACAAAATGAACTACTTTTTATGTTCTAAGAAAAGTGAGTCGTATAAAAAAAAACTACCAGGCCTGCTATTCTCGAGGATCGAGTTTTAACTTTTTCTATGAACATTTGACGGTTTTCGAGCAGAATAATAACTCTTTCACTTCAGTACAATATTATATCTGGAATTAGCCGAAAAAAAAATGAATCGATTTATGTATATTTCAAACGCTTTCTGAGACTTTTTGTTGATGAAATTGTCTATCTCTCGATTCTGTCACGGATGTGTGGGAAAATGAATTTTAATTAAAACATCTAATTTACCGTTTAGTCAATTGTATTTTTGTCCTCAAACAATATTTTACAAGTTGAGAACTTCTTTTTCACTGCGGCAATGATGTTTTAATAAAATTTGTTTCTTCACACATGCCAGACGAAATGCCAGGGTAAAAGTTTCGTGAGAAAAAAAAACTCTTAGAAGAAATTTCAAAAGCACATAAATCGACTCATGCTTTTGAACTGATTCCAAATATGATATTGTCTTCTGGAGTGAAATTGCTATTATTCTGTTCGGAAACCGTCAAATTTTAGTCGAAAATGTTAAAAACAGAACCTCAAGAATAGTGCACTAAAGTCATTTTTTATGTAAATCATTTTTCACGGCGTAAAAAGCAGTTCATTTTGTATCGCTTGAAAAGTTTTATCGAGTGCAATGTAAGTTAAGTGTGAAGGAAGCTTCATTAAAACTATATTATTAAAGGGCGAATGAAATGCACATGAGTATTTCCGATTTTACACGCAAGCAATAGAAAGCTTTTATGCTATGTAATAGATTCAAAATATCATTTTAAATGACTGGTTCCATTATGAAAATGTAATCTAAACAAAAGATTATCAAAATAAATTTGCATAGAACTTCACCATTATTTTTTTTTATCAAACAAATACTAGCATCATTGGTTTTTATCAAGAACTTATTGCCCTTTTTCTACTATGTGATGAAGCTAGATTTTGTTCACACCTATAATTGATTCAAAAGAAACAGAAATTCATGATCTTTTATTTTATATATAACTTAATTAGACAAGATCTTGAAGATGAAAAGCGGCCGAAATATGTTCGTGTCTCTCCATCTTTTCAACTTTTTATCTTCAGGTATTAGATAGCGATTATGACTCATCTAAACAGATCTGTTTCAAGAAAAATAACAATTTACAATGATAATACGTATTTCATAAATTTTTAACTTCTGTTAAATTCTTACTTATTCCTTTATATACTAGTGTATTTCTTTGAATTTTTATGAACCAGCTTGTAAATTTGTAACAATTATATTCATTGATTGTTGATAATTTGTAATAAAAAGACCAACCAAAGTATGAATAACCTGTATGTAAGAAGTCATTACACAACATGTCTAGCCAATGCTCATCTAATTATAAGTTAGTGGAAATAATCAAAAATAATTATCTAGAATCAGATTTTCATGCTGTTTCTAACTATATAATAAGAATTTTTTTTTCTGGCTTACAGTTAATTCTTTCACAAAACAATCTTTGATGAAGATCAAAGAAAACGATATCTATACAAAAATTTTTTCATGTAGTTCAGTTCTGTATTTTGATAAAAAGTCTCCATTCAAGCTATAAAAAGATTTGCTCTACGAAGTACCCACTTTGTTTCTCTTTTTAGATTTTACTGCAAATGATCGAAATCCGAAAGAACTGACTTTTTTGCAAAATATCGTCTCAAGTAAGCAGTAATTGTTTGAAAATCGTAGGTTGAGTTTAATGCTTTTTAAGTTCTAGCTTACGATAATCTATAATTTAGTAGTAAAATAAATTCTGTGCCATCTATAAAGTCATCATTATTTTAAAACTTCATTCAGAGAAGATATGAATAGTTCAAAATATCTTCTAAATTTGTGTTTTGTACCCATATCGATATTTTTTGTCATAAATTTTTGTTCTCAATGAACTATTTTTAAGTCAAACAAAAAGAATTCTTAATATATGGTTAGAGGAAATATGAAATTTTGACTCGAACTTATTACTTTTAACTGTCTTCAATGATTTAATAGTAGACAAAGATTGATGAAACATGTTGTACAAAGACTTTGTATACATAGATTTTCATAAATGTTCAAGTTCTTTAAATAGAAACATAAATGTATATACAAGAATTGATTAGATTAACATCAAATTAGCATGACAGAGTAGTTGTACATTGACAAATTGCCATAAGAAAAATATTCGTTTTTGTATGTCTTTTACAACAGATATTTTCAAATATACATTAGAACTTATTATTCATAATGCAATCTATTTTTTTTGTTATTATTCAAAAAAAGTACATTCGAAGAAAAGAAAAGAAAAAAAAAGGCAAACTGAATATAATAAAATGGAATAAAATGGACGGATTATTGAAGACTAAAAAAAAAAAATTCTCAAAACAAATGTGAATATGTGCGTGCTTTAGTATCATGACTATTCTTTTCTTGTATACGTCTTAAACGATCTTGTTCTCGATTGGCTTTTAATTTTTGATTAATTATATATTCAGATTCTTGTCCACATTCTGTCATACGTAAATCAAAATATAATAATGTACTATTATCTTGTAAACCTTCTTGTAATGATTTACCAATATCACCACCTAAACGATTAGCACTCATATCAATTTTTAATAAACTTTTATTTCGATTAAGTATTTCAGCTAATTTATTTCCTGTTGGTTCAGATAGATTATTCGATGATAAATTTAATTCATGTAATGATTGATTTATTAATAATGCTAAGCAAATAGCTTGACCACCTTCATCACCAATACGATTTAAACGTAGATTTAAATATTCAATGGTTGTTGACTTTGTTATACCATATGCAATGGCTTGTGCACCTTAAATTAATAAATACTTATTACATGTTTCGTTTTTTTCTTTCTTTAAGACGCTTACCTTGTGGACCAATAAGATTATTGCATAAATTCAATCGAAGTAATTTTGAATGTCCATTAAGTAATTTAGCAATAGCTCGACATCCACCTATGCATAAAAACATTGAATTTGCTTATGATGAAAAGACAATAGTTTTTTTTTTAAACTTACGATCACTAATTTGATTATGTTCAAGATTAAGTTCCACTAATGTTGGATGATCAAGTAAACCATCTCTTATTAACATTCTTATTCTGAGATCATCAACTTTACTTCTATGTAAATGTAGAACTCGTAATGTTTTACATTGTTGTACACATTTTGCTAATATTTGACAATCTTTTTTTGTAAATTCAAACATATTCCAATCAAAATTCATTCCACAACCTTTAACACCATAAACTAAATGAAGTTCTTCTAAATTTGGTAAACTTTTAATGAGCTCTGTAAAATCAAAATGATCACATAATGGTTTTTTAAGTTCAGCATCACGACCATCATTTAATTCATTTTCTTCATCATCATCGAAAAATTCATCTTCATTTTGTAAAATTTTATCTTGCACTTCAACTGGTGGTAAAAGTTGTTTTATATCAAGTCGTTTAACATATTGTGCTCCTTTAAGAATAACATAACATGTTTATAAAAACACGATGTAAAAGAAGTGTTGAGGTATAAAAGTAAAACTCTGGATTTTCTCCTTCCTACAGATCGTATATCAATAACGTTTTGTTTCAAGGAATCAATTATTTCCTTATTGCATTTATGGAAGTTTAAGTAAAAGAATGGTGAAAAAATGAGTTTCAATATAACAATTTTCCTGTGATTGATAACAAAAGATACATCGCACTGCAATTTTTCACTCCAAAGGAATTGCATTAACAGATTCTTTTTTTGAATTGAATTAAAAATTCAACTTACCGAGATTGACATATTCAAATAATTGTTTCATATCAGTTTGAGCTGGTACAAAGTTTTCAATAATTTCTTCAATATGTTTTTCAAAATAAAACCGTTTCCAAGAATTATCATATTGTTTTATATCACAAATAGGCCATTTTTCTTTACAACATTTTTCCCAATAATTTTCATCTTCAATTAATGGTGCTGTAACTTTAAGTGGAACTTGTGTTGGTAAACTTTTTAATAATTGATTACGATGTTTATCTAATAATTCATCATATTTTGGATTTGTATCAAAACTTTTTACAAGAGAATTTAATGCTAAATCAGTTAATGCTGGAACAATACGTAAACTCCATTCAAGATCATCAGCTATAATACGACGAACAGGTTTTAATTCAGGATTCAACATTGAATATTTGATTTCAGTTTGAATAGCATCTTCTGTTGGACTTATTAAATTTTCATTAGTTACTGGTTGATTTTCAGTTGTTGGTGGTACAACTGCATTCTCTACAGCAGATGGTACAGGATTGGCCGTTTCTTCAGACATCTAAAAATATATCATACAAGTAATAACACAAATAATTTACATAGCACAATAATAATAAGAATATTGCACACGACAAAAGAAAAACGAAGAAAGACAAGAAAAACGCATTATTAGACTATTTATTTTAATCATCATCGACAGGTGGTAACCAAAATACCTAAATAACAATACTAAATTATTTATTTTGTAAATGATTTCTTTTCTAACCATATGTGTCGAAGCACTTGCTAACATAAATGACTTTGGATTAAATTGAACACATTGTATACAATCTGAAGCATTATCAGTAGTGAATGTGGTAAGTTTTTCACCATCGGTTGTACGCCAAACATGTATACGACCATCGGTTGAACCTAAAAACAATGAAATTTAATAGGACACGAAGTTTCTCATAGATCGAATCAATCAATGCTGTATAATCGTACGATATACAACACATGAATTTCAATTGATAAAAAAAATCGTCGATGTTATTTTTAAGACAATATCGCAAATAAAAGAACGCAAGTTGACTCTATAGCACTGAATGATCTATGATGTCAACAAGGGAAAAGAAACGATCATGTTAAGAAAAAAAACGTTTCTTGAAATTTATTAGAGACAGTAGAATCTCAGTGCTATGTGTCTCTGTTGAGACAAATGTATAATAATATTTTCTAAGGTATTGACATAACTAAGAGATCAGTACGATAGGATAATGTACCACGATCGTAGAGTGAAGATAATCCATGCAATATGGTGCCAATAATAGTAATTATTGTGTTTTACTTTTTTTGGTAGTAGGGTGGCATCTGACCTAGCTTTCTACTATTCTGACGGCGAGAACGATCGCTCCTAAATTCATTACATTAGAAAGTCTATTTCTAGAATGTCAGTGATCTGATACATAAACTTTAAATGATTTAGAATTCCTTATGTTTACCCATTGCTGTCAATCAGAATTAACATACTTCATAACAAATACTGAAAGGATCATCAGAAATGATCAAAAGATTTTAATCCATTTTAGTATTACATCTCTCTTTTTTTAGACAATTTCCTATGTATTCATAGAGAAATTTTTAATTCTATATTTGTCCTTTAAAAAGAGAAGAACTAATCTACACTTTGATGTCTTTTACAGAGCGAATAACACATACCACAAAAAACATATTTCGAATCAGGACTAAATGAGGCTTCCAGAGGTACATTTTTTGTATTTTGATGTCCCTTTAAAAAAATTTCGAATTAAATATCAAATAATTAAAAATGTTCATTTTTTTTTCTATTACGGTAAATGTATGTAAAAGAACACCACTAAATGCATCAACAAGTAATATTAATGAAGTATTTGTTGAAACAAGAATCATTTTTCCATTAGGACTAAATCGTAAATGTGTCCATTCAAAATCACCTTCACATTCATATTTTAACATTTCAAAAGGACCCTAGAAAAAAAAAAGAAATCCAAAATACATTGCAATTAAAACAATAAACAATAGTTTTACTTTTTCATGATTTCGAATATCATATAATCCAATTATTTGTGAATCAATTCCAATACCAAAAGCAAGTCCATCGGGATCATAATCAACTACTGGATTTCCTGGTGTTATAATCAAACCCTATTTTTTAAATAAAATAAAGAATTTATGAAAGCTTGTTTTTTTTTATTATAAATATTTACTTGACAAAGTGCACTTCTTAAATCCCATACACGTACTGTTCGATCAGCTGATGCTGAAAGAAATGATTTATCAATTGGTGATACAGCTAAACTTCGTACTCTAAAAATAAAATATATATTCATAATATAAAAAATTCTTTTTAAATGTTTTACTTTTTTGTATGTCCTGTATAATAACGAATATATTTACTATCCGATAGCGATAAATATCGAATACTATCTAGAAAAATATTTCAAAAAAAAAATTGTTTTATTAATGAGACAGAAAAAAAAAGTAAAATCTCTTTTTACCATCAACTTTCATTGAACAATGAAGTGCTTGTTCACCACTACGTGTAAATCGTATCATATCACAACCATATTTTTTACTTGGAATAGGTCGTTTAGGTCTAAATTTTGTTTCATATTATAAACAAAAAGTCAAAGAACGAAAAAAAAAAAGAAATAGATATTCTTACAATCCAGCTTCACAATCATAAACAACAATGGTATCATCATCTGAACTTGAGATAAGTAAATCACCTAATTCAAAAAAAAATAAATAAATAGTGAATAAAAATTCAAAAGAAAAAAAAAAGTTAAACAAACCATTTTTATTAAAATCACATGCATTTATACGTTCAGTATTTTCACGAAATACTTTTGTCATGCGAAATGATTTTACATTTGTATCATTGATCAACATTTTTTTTTTATTCTATTTTATTCACCAGAAAGACAAAAAAAATATCGTTTTTTGTGTTCTATACAAGTTCCAATGATTTGTTGCTATGGATTTGTTTTACCATCACTGCTGGTGACATCTTTTCATTAGTCATAGCATTGGTTAAATTAATAAAATTTATCATCGATCAATCAATCTCTTCTTCATCTACGGATCTCACTTCCTCTAATAACCGCTATATCAGATAGATTCAAATCGTACGCTACTTCTTATATTAGAGTGCGTTGGATTTATATTTAGATACAGCTGAATATAGGTTACGACAATATTCAAGAAGAAATCTTCATTTTATTTTAAAACAAAAATCTTCCTGATATTAACAGTGTCTGTTTCTTAAAACTTTATTTGTGCATTTGATCTTTGAAGTTCTGAAGCTTGAAAACTTGCTTGTAAGAATTTGATTGTGATTAGTCACGCATAGCAATTAGAAATACGTTTTATGTTGCAATCATTGATATCGATGAATAGTATTAAGTATTTACAAATTATGATTTTGTATATTACTTAAGTGCTTTTTTTTTTAGAATTTTTCTAAAACAATTTTTAATTATTGGATGAGTCAATGCTTCATGTAAGACAGTATTAGTCGTATATTTTCGACCGTTCAGCTTGATTATGTTATTTTTGATAGTTTTCTTCAGTTTAATGTATTATATGAAACCTCGGAGGTCATTTATTTGAACATATTTGAATGAAGCATCAACTACTCTCTCGAACCATATATTTATCATTAGATTTATTTCTTATCTTTACTAAAAATCTGTTAATCTTCTGAGAAGTGCATTTGTAAATTTGGTTTATAGACTATACTCCGTTTTTCTTGAAGAAAATTTTAGTTACTTAAACATGTGAAATCTGTTTTTCATTGATACATGACTAGATATAGAGCGTTAATTTGATTATCAATTTAGAAAGTTTTGATCAGATTTTTTTGTTAGATTTTACATGTAAAATTTTTACGAAAAGTAAATTGAATTTGATTTTGCATCAATACAATCATGATCTAATTTTTTATAGTAGAATTCAATTTTCTCTTTAATTTTACATGCGTTGTATTTCATGTTTTTTTATATGTTCTAGTTTAATGAATCTCTGTCGTCTAAAGAAGTCTTCAAGATTAACGAATGAGGTTTCAATGAATAATGAACGTGCGAAAGTCCTATTTCATTGTTTCTCGAAGTTTCGAACTAAATGCAAAACAGATCAAATGGGAAGTTTATGGTTCGATAGAGCAATTAATGATTTATCTAATAGAATTAAAATGAGAAATAACCGACGTTTTATATTGATGCAACAAATTGAACATTATTATCCAAAATAACATAATCAGACTGGATATAATATGCAGACATTTTCTTTTAAATTTGTGACATTTTTCTCGAATTCCTATGAAACAGGGTGCATATATTATGAAGATTAAACTAAAACGAGGTCATATAATAGCATAGAGAAATGGCGGATAGTGTTTATTGATATAATTAAAAACAATGGTTCAACTATTCATCTTTATTAGTTGTTGTTTGATAAGAGCATTGAAACTTATGAGGGAAGGTCCACAACTGACGGACGCCGTTCGACTCCATATTATGGCTACAAGGTAGGTCTCTATGAGACTAAGAAAACCGTAAAAGGATTCGTACCCATTGACTATCGGTAAAAAGTTATAACCGTTTTACTGAATTTTGGGCATGCGACAAGGGATTTCCAAAAAAAAATCGAATTAAAGAATTTCGACCTGAAAATTTGCCCATAGATAGGTCTAATAGTCATTAGAATTGCTTGAAAGTTTCAGCCAAAACGAATGTTCCTTTCTCGAGATATTGAATTGTCAATAAAAATAGTCAGCTTTCACAGACAGGTCACAAAAACCGAGTTTACTTGACCATTCAATATCTCAAGAAAGGAACATTCGTTTTGGCTGAAACTTTCAAGCAATTCTAATGACTATTAGACCTATCTATGGGCAAATTTTCAGGTCGAAATTCTTTAATTCGATTTTTTTTTGGAAATCCCTTGTCGCTTGCTCAATATTCAGTAAAACGGTTATAAATTTTTACCGATAGGCCATGGGTACGAATCCTTTTACAGTTTTCTTAGTCTCATAGATACCTACCTTGTAGCCATAATATGGAGTCGAACGGCGTCCGTCAGTTGAGGACCTTCCCTCGTTAATGGAAAATGAAGTATGTTTCTTTGATATTTAAACTGTTTAGCTAATACTGTTTGCATAGAGTTGAAAAATTAATTCATTCTGGCTGTTTTAACGCATGAAAAATAGATTTTAAATTCCAGTTTTTTCAATTAACAGACGGATGCTATTTTCGAGTATAGTTTAAAAGATGATGTCTTTCTATGTTGATTTTTCTTCCTAATCTAATGAGTTATTGACAGAAATGTGACAGTTTTCCAGTTAATCAAAAATATCAGGAAGATGATAATAATAAACAATAAAAGTTGTGCTTGTGAAACAAATGTCCTGTAGTGATACTCTTGATTGTCATTATAAATCTATAAGTGAAATTTACTATATTCAATCTAGATTCAATCTTGATAAAGTTCTCAAATACTTGATGAATAATATATAATACAGTATGCATTTTGCTATCGAATAATACTTTGCTTTGTGCAAATACAATTTCTTTGATGAACAGTATATGAATCCTTGATTGAGTTGTCCTCCTGTATAATGTATAAGTCAAAAAAAAGCAGAACAAAAGTGAAATGTGAGTGTTGAAAAAACATAATATAACGTCATGCTATATGTCATAGGTGATTGATGCGATAATTTTTTATACGTTGTACAAGTAACTGTCCGCCTTTTTTTCGTATATTGTAATTGCTTTGACAGCTTTCAGTTTATCTGGATCGGCCGATCGATCTTGCATACTTGATCAGGTTTTGAATCAATGACAAAAAGCTGTTTCAATCAATAAAACCATTAGCATATGCAAAACGAAAGACAACAAAGTTATAGAAGATTTCATCCATTGTTTCATTTGCCTTATAAGTCAGTCGTACTAAGAAGGCGTTGATACTTTGTTGAAGCAAATGCATCAATGACATACTCGTGTTGATATTGATATATATCGTTCTCTCTCTCTCTCGCATTTCTTCTTATTATCTTCTTCATCTGTATAAGTATCTGTCATAGACATATGAATTAACTAAAAAAGCATCATTACCCAAAATCAACAGTATCATTATTCCATTGGTTCGTCATATTTATCATTAGGATTCACTGTACTCAAATAAAGTACCTAACGTTTATTGTAATTAGCATTTCTTCGATACTAAACAGGTACGTTATTAAATCAAAAGAGAATACAAAGTCTTTTATTCTTAAGTATATATACATACAATTAAATTTAGTCATATCTATACTGGTACCGTGTGTACAAAAAAAATCAGCTTAAAAGAACTGTATTCGTACAAAAAACAATAATTAAACTTTGATATTTTATGGATGGAAAATGTTTGTTCGATGGATACATTAATTAGATTAAATCATAACTCTATTCTTGACATCAACTGATTATTTGAGAACAAAATTCATCAATTAAACAAACCAAAATGAAATGACATTAAGATAAGATTATTCTTTGAAATTTTATACACAATCATATAAGTATCAATATATAAAGTAGATGTCAGTAAATCATTCAATAATAACTTTTTGGTATTCTTTGACCTGTTAGCTTTTATCATAAAGCGACATCTTTCATTGAACTCTATTATTCGTTAATTAATCAACATATATAATGGTAGAATGCATTTATGTAAATAACCCTTTCGTTTCTACTGGTTCCTTCATCGTTGTAAATTGTTGCAATCATCTGTAATTCATGAAAAATATTTTTTGATTTTTTTATTGTAAGAAAAAGTTTCGAAATGAGTTCTCGTAAACAACGTCTTGACGTTGGTTCTTCGTCATCGTCTTCTGAATCCAATAAACCACGAAAACGTCGTTTTGAAGATGTATCTGAAACAGATTATTTTAATAATAGTAATAAATCCAAAGATTCAAATAAAATATCTCAATTAAATGAAACATCAAATTCAAATATTAATCGTTTTACAATGCAATCTTATTCTCATCAATATTATGAATTATTTAAAAAACGTCGACAATTACCCGTTTGGGAATATAAAGAAGCATTTATGAGTACACTTCAAAAAAATCAAGTAACTGTTCTAGTTGGTGAAACTGGTTCAGGTAAAACAACACAAATACCTCAATGGTGTATTGATTTTGCACTTTCATTACAAATATCAAATGGACAAAAACGTCGTGGTGTAGCATGTACACAACCACGTCGTGTTGCTGCTATGTCTGTTGCACAACGTGTTGCTCATGAAATGGATGTTTTACTTGGACAAGAAGTTGGTTATTCAATTCGATTTGAAGATTGTTCATCATCTAAAACTATTTTAAAATATATGACTGATGGTATGTTATTACGTGAAGCTATGTCCGATCCATTACTTGAATCTTATGCATGTGTACTGTTGGATGAAGCACATGAACGTACATTAGCAACAGATATTTTAATGGGTCTTTTAAAAGAAGTTGCTAAACAAAGACCTGATTTAAAAATTATTGGTAAATAAAAAAATATTCATTGATGAATATATATAAAAGAAGTTTTTTTTTTTTAGTTATGTCAGCAACACTTGATGCTGGTAAATTTCAAGATTATTTTGATAAAGCACCATTATTAACTATTCCTGGTCGAACATTTCCTGTTGAAATTTTTTATACACCTGAACCTGAACGTGATTACTTAGAAGCAGCCATTCGTACTACTGTACAAATTCATATGAGTGAAGAACAAGAAGGTATAAAATTAAACCATAAGAAAAAAGTTTAGAAACGTAATATTTTTAAACTTTCGTTTTTCTTTTTTTTTGTTTATCGGTAATAGTTAGAATTAATCAGTGCAAATATGTAAACATTTGAAACA